AACCTTTAGGCATGAAAACAATCCGTTCAACCCTGTCCCAGTGCTCTCTCAAGTCTCTCTCCGGAAATTTGCTATGACTAACAGGCAACTACCCCCACCCTCCTCCTTGCATACTACAGTATATACTGCCTAGTTCTGCCCTGATCCTAAAGCCAGATGAAACAAGAGTCAAATGTACATTGCCAGCACTGCCTGCCTCTTCCATTAAGACCTTCACTACAAGTATCCACCTAACATTGCAGATAACAGACACTAATGATTTAACAGTAGTGTGGATGAAGCATAGCTCACTGTGTTGATTCTTCATTAGAAAGTATAGAGCAAGACAGCACTGTTAAGTACAGGGAGGAGTTAGAATACCACCCTTGGGAATCCCTTAAAGCCCTTACAAGTGCTGGACACCGCAGTGCAGACAGTAAAGGCTTCACAGAGTTTCCAAAGTCTGCATTTTTTTCAGCTCAGCCAAAGTACAAGAAAATAAAATTTGCAAAAGGGTCTGACAATGTGGCATCCCTACAAATTAATTTGCATTGTCCAGCTCTGACAGCAGCATAAGAAGCAGCAAGGGTTGACAAACACAGAACTAGAGCTATGGAAGGTCCTGAATGCAATGTATTTTTAATAGTGCATTGCACAAAACCCAGTAATTAAATTTATCTTGGTCACCAAAGCTCAGCAATATATCATAAAAGCAAAAAACCCAGTAAGACTGGAATTAGAAACACTTCAGCATACAGGTGAGGAAATAAACAACGCCTAATACAGACTTAGTATACAGTACCACCACCACATCTGAGTAGCTACAGAAATGAATCTCTGGACATCACTTTTGATACACAGTATCCTTCAGCTGCACACTGGTGAACACTGAAGCAAGTCTTCTGGGGAAGCATCATCATAAGCTTACCTTGCTTATGAGAACTCTCCCCAGGTATCTGCTATGGTCACCAGACAATGCTGGCCTGAATCCTCCTTCAGCCTAACCAATGCGGAGGTATTTGTGCTCTTGTGCTCTACAACAGAACTTTTGTGTCATTATCAAGAGATGGTTAAAGACAACAGGTATGGAGGGGGAAAAATGAATGCAGTAAGTCGTCAGATGCTATGCAACGCTAATTAGTCCAGGCAGAGCACCATTCCAATGTATCGTAACACTTCTGGTAACCATGCTGATCCTCAACAAGCCAGTTCTGTTGTTTCTGCACAGCACTGTAATGTACCAAGCAGATATGCCAGGTATTTCAGCACTAATCTCATTCAAAATCTCCAATTAATCTGAATACTTAGTTGAAAGTATTAAGCAGAACAGGCTTATATTGTTAAAAATGCCTTAATTCTTTACTTTGTTAAATTCATATTAAGAAGCAGAATAATTAAATCAGATATGATTTTATACTATTCATAAGCTATTAGCTACATCTTAAGAGAAAGTGCCCTATTAGCTGAGCACCCACACAATGCAAACCTAGCAGTAGAGTCCTTAGTAAAAAGTTTAGAATAGCTTGATTCCATATTTTGAAATAAAATTCCAGTATTTTTAAACTCTCTGGATGCTTAAATTAGTCAGATATATTTAAAATACTGACTTTACAGAAACAGAAGGTATTACTTTGATGTACAAAGAAGGCAGACCCTAAGATGCTAGATGTAGTTTAAAACCACTTGAGAGGATACTTCACAGTAGCAAGAAACCACATGTAGTTCTGAACAGTCACAACAGTTTGAGCTAACCTCATAATATTAAAGGACAGTTCTCCGCATCACACCTGAAACCAATCATTTTGTCATCTGTACTCCTAACCTAAACCCAGACATTTAAGAATTTACACTTTTGCTATACTAATCACTCTGTTGAAGCACTGGAATGAATATGGTTTCATTTTCCTCACTCCTTACGTTCCAAAAATCTGGAAGAAGATAACAGGTCAATCTAGGGCATCCTAAAGCATAGCTTTAGGATGAAATCTAATCAAGCATGACTATTCACACTTGTGTTTTATGAGAGGCAGAATTCCCTTTACAGCACAAGGACTGGCATGCTGCTGTCAGAAGGTGGTAAAAACAATAGGTATGACTCCACTGGAAAAAAGGAATGCTGTACATAAAACAGCAGAACACAGCCTTTACAACATAAAGCATTCCTAAACATCACCACACCTACCGTCACACAGCCACTGAATATGATCCATTTGAAAAAAACGGTGACGACTTGCACTGCTACAGACCATCTCCAGCTCTGAATGAAAAAGCGGAGAGAGCACAGTACTATTTCAAAGCATGCAGGCATTTCATCAAAAGTACTACTGCAGTCTGGGAGAGGGCAAACAGAGATTACCCTTCTTAGTCTGTTACCAAAAGACAATACAGTAACACTGTGAGCTACTGCGTATCACTTGGAAATTTCAGCATGTTGTAGAAAAACATTCTGCAGAGAACAATATTCATGGCATAATAAGCTCTAACATTCATGCATAATATGAGCATAAGAGTATCTACAATCAAGTCCTTCTTCCTATAATCTATGTCCAAAGCAGACTGCAGATTGGACTGAAGTCTTCTACAATTACTGAAGATTGTAAGGATCACATTTTTTGACAGTTGCATACACCAGTTTGACACCACTGAAGATGCCCTGTCAATAGACCATCACAGTTACGGAAGTGATGCTTCAGGACTGGGCTGACAGTTCCAAGTAACACCAGGCAATATATCAGGAACATAAAGGATCCAGAAGAAACTTCTGTAGGGATCTGTTCCTACCCTAGTCTTTTCAGTGCATTTTTATTTGAACAGCAAATAACGCACCAGCCTGGCTTCAGCAAAATTAAGTTAAACTCACCAGTAGTCGGGAATTACTGCAGAAGACAGACACCTAAAGCCACTCCATCAGTGACAATATTCTTGTTATTTCAATCATGTAAGTACTTCATTAAAAAATTTCTAACACCAAACAGAAAATTGTTTTAGAATACATGCTTGTCCAAGGTTCACCTTGGGTAACAGAACTCAGTTTAAGGCAGAAACTGCTTCTTATATTTAAGTCTATGGTTTCAATTTCCATGCTCTCCTTCAGCACTAGTTCCCTGCTACTCTAAGGGAAGCTGGAACTATGGGATCACACAAGTTGTAGTTACTGGTGTCCCACTCCTAGCACCAGGTCTCACTGTAGTAATACAGATCCTTGACAGAAGATCAGGAAACAGCTTCCACTTTCAAAGATATTTAGCCAAGAACTTGTCATTAACACATCAGCAAAAGAACAACTATGGGACTGAATAGTGCAACTGAAGCTTGGCTAAACAATTTTGTGTATGGATTCTCTATAAACTTATACTTGAAAAGTGGCATAAACTTTATTAAAGGAAAGCCAACAGAAAACAAAAGGGCAGAAGAAGAAAGATAAAGATATGTGATTGGCATAGGTGGTGCCGCCTAACAGCTAGAGGACAGAACCTGCCGTGCCTGGACTCGGTTCCCAGGTTTGCCATAGGCCTGCTGGGTGACCTCAGGCAACTCCCTCATCCACCTGCCTGGAGATCTAACCTCAGTGGCACTGATTTGTCTTACACAGATAAATTAAAATGTTAACTCAATCTTCTACTGCATCTCTATGGAAATAAAACAAAGAAATTCAGACTATTTTTAAGATACTATTGGAATTTTAGACATACATCTTATTAGTACAGGACCCAAAGCTCCTAGCATATGACACCTCTTAAACATCCAAATCTTATCTTCCTGTAAGCAATTTTCATTTTTTCAGTGTCAGTCTGGAATTAAAAAGCAGTAGTCCCAAGTCTTGTCATCCCCAGAAGAGGCTATGGTTTGCAAAAGCAGAACTTTAAAAACATCTTTTAATACTTCTGGAAAACTTTAATGTACTCAACGCTTGACAGTACCACCCAAAAGAGAAAAGGAAGACACTGTCCTTAAGTTAAATCTCTCACTTAAATTTCTCCAGCTCTGAAAGTGTACCCTGTTATCTTTATCTATTTCCCTCTACAAATATGCAGTGCCTTTAATCCATGGGCATCCAAGGGTCTTGGATTTTAGGAGTTCCAAGAAACTATTTTTGAAATGACATCAGAAATCTGCTATGGTCAATCAATGCAGCTAGCACTTTTCCCACAAATAAAATAACATTAGAAAGCAGCATTTCCCCTTGACTGAGTGAAATTTGACAGCTGAAATACAGAAATCTCACAGAGCACCCCAGAGGCGCTTTGTTCAAGTTTAGTCCCTTCCACATGCCAATCGGACCAAACTGAATACTCAGCCTTACTAACTACCCATTTATATGAGAAAGTTATGGCCACAGAATAGGGTAAGCTTCATAAAAGTGTTCTCTTTAGAAAGCCAAGATTTCAGTTCAGATAGTGGCTAGCTCCATCTATTCTAGAGCTAGAACATTTCCCTCAAAAACATTCTAAGACCACGTTGACTTTCATGCTTGCTTCAGCCAGAATTGGGCACTTCCCTTCCAGATGATGTTCCTAACACTCCCCAAAGTAACCAGTCTGCTACAGCCTAAGCAGAGGCATTTAAAAATTAGTGCAAGGGTTTTCTTTGAGCTCCTCTGAACTGAAGCCTTCCACTTCCCCCTTACAATCTGAATTGACCCCTAGGAGCTTTGACATGAATCCCCCACCCATCTTTGCTTTAATTATTGTAGGTACCATTTGATTGTGGCCTGACAACTTCACCTCCCAACCTACTAAAAGGCAAGGCCTAAACCCCTGTACCTATGGGTTCCCAGGCCCTGCCTGCATCACTGCTTCACCAGGAGCCACCCAGCCAGCACAGACCAAGGTGATTTACGAAAGAACACGGTTTTGTGCCCCACCATCCCCTATCATCAACCTCGCTGCCGCAGCCGGCTCCAGAGGAGTTTGTGCGACCCCCAACCCCCCCGCCCCGTGCCCGGAGGGGCCGCAGGAGAGGCTGCCGAGGTCCCCCTTTTCTCTCGGGCTGCAGCAGCCCCAGGGGCCCCGGCTGCTCACCCCTGCACGCCCGGGCTGTATTTCCTGGTCTTCCAGGGTGTGCCGGGGCTCTGCAGTGCTGGCTGAGGCGGCTGCCGCTGCTGGTGGGGGGAGTTGTTGATGGCGACGCCTCGGCTGCCGGAGAGCAGGTAATTCATCCCATAGGTGCTGGCTTTATTCTCTCGTTTCCTACGGCCCGGG